TATATATATATATATTTTTTCTGCTGGAGGTTTCTTCCTGTTCAAAGGGAGTTTTTCCTCTCCACTGTCGCTACAAGCATGCTTAGTGTGAGGGATTGCTGAAGAGTCAATGATTCATCTGGTTTTCTTTAGAAAACTTTGAATCAATCTGACTGGATGATCTGACGAACTGTAAAATGACCTGAGATGACGTGTTGTGAACTTGAGCTATAGAAATAAACTCAATAGAATTGAAACATTTAAAAAAAAAACTTTTATTTGAATAAAAAACAGAGACACCAGACACAACAGAACCTCCGTCCCTGACAGAGGAAAGTGTTGGATGGGGGCGGAGCCAGAGAGGGGCCGTGGCTCCCTAGCAACGAGGTGTCCATCATGCCTACCTGAACATGTTAATGTGCTGGGACTCCAGAGGACGGAGGTTTTATCGGTCTGCTGTCTGATCCACACATTGATCCAAACCGGAAAAACCTGGTTTTAGCATCTGGAATATCTAGCTCTATGTTTAGCTTGGTTGGTTCAGTGAACCGGGTGAGAACCCCACGGACCTCTTCTAGAACCTCCCTCCTACTGGACCTCATGTCCTTAGTTATCGTGGTTGCCATGGTGATGAAAGGATGGCCAATCAGAAGCTGGTGAGGCTCCAACAGAAGCTCCCCTAAATCAGTGAGAGGAGTCAGAACCAGTGAGAGGAGTCAGAACCAGGGTTCCACAGGAGTCATGTTCTCCACATGGAGCACGGCTTCTCTCCTCACAGAGACCTGGTCCGGTCCGGTCCGGTCCGGTCCGGTCCATCTGGATGCTGATGTTCCTGTGGTCCAGTTAGAGAGGAGCAGAACCATCAGGTGTCTGTCCTCCTGCTGAGCTTCAGATGGAGGTTCTGTGGTTCGGTCCGGAGCTCAGCTGTTTCTGCATGATGATGATGATGATGATCATCATCATCATCATCATCATCATCATCATCATCATCATCATCATCCCCGAGCAGATATGATTACCTCACCAGCAAACCGCGGAGTGTGGTGACGTCACAGCCGGACTGCCTTATTTGGTCCTGCCCCGCGCAGCGTCATCGCTATAAAGGAGAGTTTTCCGGCGCACGGAGAGCAGAGAGAGAGAGACAGGGACCAGGACCAGGACCGGACCGGACTATCTGGACTTTACCGAACCGGACCTGCTGAGCGGACAGGATGAAGATACCTCTGCTGCTGCTGCTGCTGTCCGCGCTGAGCTGCTCCGGTGAGTCCTGGAGGGGTGGGGGGGTTAGAGGCTGGAACTACAGCAGATCCTGGTCCAGAACAATCTGAACCTCCACCTTCCTCCATCAGGAGGAGGAGCAGGGTGGGTCTGAACTGAGCTCAGGTGGAGAAGAGCTGAAGGTGGAGGAGCTCCAACCACCAGTTGACTGGGACTAAACACTGTTAACCTAAAGTTAACCTCAGGTTAACCTGA